GAGAGAGAGAGAGAGAGAGAGAGAGAGAGAGAGAGAGAGAGAAGGAAGGTACATAGGTAGATGGGGGGGAGAGAAATACAGTAGATAGGTAGGGAGAGAGAGTATGTAGGTAGATAGAGGGAGAAAGGGAGAGGGAGAGAGAGAGAAATACGGTAGGTAGGTAGGTAGGTAGGTAGAGAGAGTAGGTTGGTAGATGTTTCCAGGTGTATTTATCCATGTGCTGGAGAAGGAAATCACTGACAATCTGCAGTACCTAAGACTTTGTTTCTGCTGGCACAGCACTTGATCAATCTAATTCTCATCAATTACTCTAACTAAAGAGCTTTCTGAAAGGAAAAAAAGTTTTTGCACTCTGCAAACCTCACAAAAACGGCCCATTTTTTTTTAAAGGCATGAATAGCCTTGGGGGGAGGCTTGCAGAGTGCTCCAGGGGGAACAAGCAAAAAATGGCCCATTTTGGGGGAAAACAGGACCATTTTTTGTCAAAAGAATTGCATGCATAGACTTATGGAGGCTTATAGAGTGCTGCTAGGGGTTGGGGGGCAAAAAACAGCCCATTTGTTGCTCATTTCTGCCCTCTCCAGCCCCCAGGAGCTCTCTGAAAGCCTCCATAAGGGTATGTATGGGCATTTTTGTGAAGGGGGCGGGGCTTTGGGAGGCAAAAAAATGTTGTATTTGATGTATAAGACGCACCCAGATTTTCAGCCTCTTTTGAGGAAAAAAGATGTGTCTTATACTCTGAAAAATATGGTACCTTATGACACCAGACTTGAAATTTTGGGCTTAGACAACTTAGAACTTCACCGTCTTCAATCCGACCTAAGCATAGTACATAAAATTATCTGCTACAGTGTCCTACCTGTCAATGAATACTTCAGCTTCAACCGCAACAACACACAAGCTCACAATAGATGCAAACTTATGGTAAATCACTCCAAACCAGAAAATACAACTTCAGTAACAGAATTGTCAATGCCTGGAATGCACTACCTGAAAATGTGGTTTCTTCCCTAAAACCCCAAAACTTTAACCTTAGACTGTCTACTGTCAGCCTCATCCCATTCCTAAGAGGTCTTTAAGGGGTGTGCATAAGCGCACCAGAGTGCCTACCATCCCTGTTTTAATATTGCCTTGTATTTGTATCCATTTCATGTATTCATAATCATGTTTATACATATATCTGTTACCTAATTCATGCTTGATGAAATAAATAAATAAATAATAAAATAATAAATAAATCTGCATATTATTTCATAAACCTGATAAGCTAATACTAGTAATACAAAGTATGTGATTCTTGGGTAAGGCAGATGATTTCATTGCAGCACATGCCTGCATCTTCAAAGCCACTGAATGATTATGTTCACAGATAAATTACATACTTACATCTTTCACACTATTACTCTTGATACTTTAGCATCACAAAAAATAAATGTATATATTTAAAAAAAAGTTATTCCCCAAAACTGTTCCCAAGTGTCTCAACAATGCATTGAGTTTAAAGCAAATCATGATCATTTGTTGGTCATTACATATCATTAATCATAGAATAAATATTTTGCTTCTTTTTAATTTGCTTCTTTTGTTTCTTTTTTTGTTTCTTAATCTTCAGTGTCTTGTGTTTGAAGATGCTCCCAATGGAGTGAAGGCGTCACTGAAGGCGGGTATGCAAGTGATCATGATTCCAGATGAAAACTTGAACAAAGACCTTACAAAAGAAGCAAGCCTAGTGCTGGGGTCCATGAGTGATTTCAAGCCAGAATTGTTTGGTCTGCCACCATTTGATTGAACATAGTTTTTTTTTAATTAAAAAATGGTGTTTTTTAAAAAGAAACAGTTTTTTTTTCTTTTTAGTATTGTTTCATTATTTACACTTCGGCTTAATTCAGTATTAAAATCACAGAATTAAAATGCATTTGAAGCCTAAGAGGTTTCTAGATTATACACTCATTCAAAAAGTAATGCTCTTTTTCATAAAAAAAAAAATTTGGGGGGAACCAACTAATAGCTCTCCTGAATGTTCTCATTACTTCTTCCATCATTTTTATTTTCAGAAAAATTCTATAATGAACATTTTCTCTAGGTTTTTGTTGCTGTTGTAAATCACCAGAAATAGTCATGCAGAACTATATTTAAATCACTTTGGATGGACTTTAATACAAGATTCTGCCACCAGTGATAAAAGGTGTAAGGTTCTTTGACCAACTAAATAGATGTGCTTTAGGTCTGTTTTCAACATCTTTTACATAGTTATCTGTGTTTAGCTGAATGTAAACATGTAGTTGAAAATATTGCACAAATAATAATTTGTTGTATAATCTGAATTCATGCATCATGATAAAAAAGTGGGCAACCTATTATCTCAGAGTCATTTATGGTTCCAAAGCTCTTTGTTATAATCTTCAGAAAGTTTTTTGTGACCAAGTGTCACCTTGAATTGCACACAAATAATAATACCACAGTTATCAATAAAAAATGGCATAATATTTTACTATTTATTTGGTGAGATGTGCAGGAAAACTATAATGTATATTCTAAAATAGGCATAATAGGGTTAAGGAAAAAATACATACAGTAACTCTCCTGTAAATTCATTGACCTAACATTGCATAAACCTGGCACCGTTCAAATGAAATTTTGGAAACGTTTCCAACTGTGTTCTAAGTCATAAATCACAACTTACATTGAACATAGTTTTTGTTTACCCAAGCTAAAAAAAGCAAACTGGGAGAACGCGGTCAGACAAACGGAGGCGAGCCAATAGCAGTAGCAGTAGACTTATATACCGCTTCATAGGGCTTTCAGCCCTCTCTAAGCGGTTTACAGAGAGTCA